GGCAAGTGTAGGGTCCTGCACCTAGGGAGGAGTCAAACCATACACTAGTACAGGTTGGGGGTCAATCTGCTTGAGAGCAGCTCTGCAGAGAGGGACCTGGGAGTTTTGGTGGATAATGGGATGACCATGAGCCAGTAATGTGCCATACTGGCCAAGAAGGCCAACAGCATCCTGGGGTATATTAAGAAGAATGTGGCCAGCAGGTCGAGGGAGGTCATCCTCCCACTCTACTCTGCCCTGGTAAAGCCACATCTGGAGTACTGTGTCTAATTCTGGGCCCCCCAATTCAAGAAAGACAGGGAGCTATGGGAGATAGTCCAGCAGAGGGCTACTAAGATGATGAGGGGACTAGAGCATCTCTCTTATGAAGAAAGACTGAGAGACCTGGGGCTCTTTAGCCTGGAGAAGATAAGACTGAGAAGGGACCTTATCCACACTTATAACTATCTAAAAGGCAGGTGTCAAGAGGATGGGGACAGGCTCTTCTCAGTGGTGCCCAGCAACAAGACAAGGGGCAACAGGCACAAACTGGAGCACAGAAGTTCTGCCTCAACATGAGGAGGACCTTCTTTACTCTGAGGGTGGCAGAGCACTGGAACAGGCTGCCCAGAGAGGTTGTGGAGTCTCCTTCTCTGGAGATATTCCAAACCTGCCTGGATGTGTTCCTGTGTGACCTGCTCTAGGCTAACCTGCTTTGGCGGGGGAGTTGGACTAGATGATCTCCAGAGGTCACTTCCAACTCCTACCATCCTGTGATTCTATGATTGTGACTGCCTTGGAGCGCCCTCATGAATGGGACCCTTGCATATGGCCTGGATACTTCTATGTGCATGGCCCATGCTGCCAAACAAGCTCAAACAGTTACCATAGAAGAGAACAGACAGAAGTAATCCTTCAGGAGACACGAGCCATTCCCAAAGAGGCTGGTACTGTGGTATCACACCTTCAAACACTGGTGAAGGATCTGCACAAAACCAGCCTGCCCCCGACACCAGGACGTTACAGGCTCCAGAAAGGTATGGAGAAGCTTCTACCCACAGAATCATGGCTTCCAGAAAGGGCAGACGACAAAAGGAAAACAAATGCCTTGCTCAGGAGACAAGCTGTATTCCTGATGAGGAACAGTGCAATGGCTTCAAAATCTCCATTTTGAATAAAGGCACTTAAGTACCCTAAAGCCCACAATGGATTTTCATTCTTTGTTCTCTAACACATTAACCTGCAGACAAGCCACTGCACAAGCTTTTCCTTCCGAGATGAAGGCAATCTGACTTACAGTCTTACTGTAGGAGGGGAGCCACCACCTCCTGAAGGCAATCCACCCCAGCATATCTTAAAAGCAGACCAGAGGGCAGAGAGACAAGTCAATGGCCAATGGCCAACGCAAGGCATGAAAGCATTGCTTCAAAGACACCTGGCCCAAAGTTTGCCAAGACGTATGACAAAGGACTGCAATCAGGAGCCACTGGCCAGCTCACCGTCAGGTAATGACCTGCCCTTTGTGTGCCAGGCGGGTTTACGTGGCAGGTGCACCCGCCTGGATAAAGGCTGAAACTTCTCGACCGACGAAAGGAAAGAGTTAAAACTAGAAGCTGTGGTTTGGGGGTCAAGCTGCCCAGCTGCATGGTGGCTGTGGTAACCTACACAGCTCGGTGGAGGAGGAGGAAAGGCAAATCCCTTCAGTTGACAGACAAGGCCCTCAGCGAGTGAAACGCCTTGGTCGAGATAAGTTTCTAGACCACCTACCATATATGACCACAGATCAGATTTGACTAGGGTATGAATGGAGGCCAGTCAGGGGGCAAATGGAGCCAGTCCTCCTCAGAGCAGCAGGTCTGCAGGCAGGGACTTTCCCCTTGGATCAGGATGCTGCCCAAGGTACCTCCTCGATGCCGAGAGCCCCCACCTTATTGGGTGGGTGACAGGCGCATTCTGGGTCATCATCCCTGAAAATTAAGCTTAAGTCAGCTGTGTGGTATTAGTTCTGTTTGACAGACATCCTAACATGTAGTTTACTGATGTTTGTCCGAGTGCTAAATAATTCTGACTAGAATAAATCTCATTTTCAAGTACCTGCTTCGTCTATTTTGAGAGACTCCGTGACAGTTTATAACAGACTTTCTTATAAAACCAACAATATAGACAGAAGTGCCTCTGTACCGACAGATGAACGGCATTCCCTAACAGTAAGCTCCCTTACGTCGTTTATTGCCCTTTATTAGGAGGATATGAATAAAACTAACACCTGTTTAGACTCAGGCATCATGGCACGTCCCCAGAGCCTAGCAAAGAGCCCTTAAGTATGTACCACACACAGCACACCACCTACTTGAGCTGTAACACAGGAGAACCTTCACTGCCTGTTGCCCATCCCTTTGCTGGACCAGGGAAGTTCAACAGTTACCTGGTGTAGGCTACTGAGTTTCTGCAAAAAACAGCTAAAGCGCTAAAAACAGCTAAAAAGCTGAGCATCGCTGCCGCTTCAGCTGTCCTCTAAAGGAGCACCCTAACAGTGGTACACTTCCCCCATGCTCTCTCCTACCCAAATCCAAATCCCTGGACAAGTGCAGGGGAGTAGTATTAACCTGCAGAGTACTCAAAGCCCAGCAGCTAAAGGGATGCATGAGCTCTGGCTCCAACTCTAAAGGGAAAAAACAGGGCATAAGCAACACTTTTCAGCAGGTTCACAGAGAAAAAAAGAAAAAAAATCACCTACAGCTGTAAAAACAGAGTAGCTCCACTCTCAGAATGGACTGATTTACGTGTTTTCTCTCAGGAAAGAGCCACTCAGGGCTCTGCTGAGGTGTCTGGAGGTAAGACTGCGTTTCCACAACCTGTCCAGGGCACAGTGGGGGCACCTACCCCAAGGGCTGTGCTGGTTCTCAGAACCCACGGTGAAGGCTTTGACAGCTCATCCCAACAGCCACACAGCTTCTGGAGCCCAAACCTGGCATCAGAAGCCTGAGACCAGAAGGAAGCAGTCTGGATACTCTCCAGAAAGACCCAGTAAGGCTATGACAATTGCCCCAAGTCCCAGAAGATCTACACTGTGCTCTACAGCAAAGTCTTGTTTGCAGTCTTTACCACTCTGTTGCAGAAATGAGGATTTTACACGTAAATGTCTTTACAATGCTGGGGAATTTTCAATGGCCTACCACCATAAGCAGATCTACATGGAGTCTGCAAAGATGTGGCACAAGCAGATTTGTTAGATACCCCTGCACCAGCACTGATCCTGTGAGCATCAGCATAGGGCACCTTAGCCCAGAGTTGGGTTAATCCCCCAGCACCAGCTCCATCTACCACAACTGGCCCCAGAGCACTTGGCATTACACCAGTGTTATGAGACAACACCACAGCGTTTCTCATCTCTTCAGCCAGTGTAACCTGTTCTGCGCTCGGGCCTTCTTGTCCGCCGTGCCGGATCATTCCTTGGTCACAAGTTACCACTGCTGGGCAGTTACAATTTGAATCTTCCCTTCAGCAGCTGCAACTATTCCCCCAAAACAACAAAAAGCAGCTACAGAATTGGTGATCAAGACCCAAAACAGCACTGTCTAAAAACACAGTCTCCTTTCAACAGAAAACAGTCCTATGGTATAGAACAAAATTCTCATTCTTTCCCAGGCGTCGACTACTGACCACTTGAAAAAGAAGACAGTGAGGCAGATGAACATCTGGGCTGACCTCATCCACACTGTATTATCACGACAACGCTAGCACCATCACATAGCGATGGCATCCTGTCTTGGAGTCTCACAAGAAGCTGGTCTCTGATGAGATAAACACCTGTGCCGCCCTCCTCTGCTGTCTCTCCAGAGTACTTTTTGTTGGACTGTGGCACAAGAGGAAGCAGCACGTGGCACTCGCACAGAGGGAAAGCACAGCCAGAAATCCAGAGACTCTACACCCAGCAAATCAGGATTTCCAGTGGCAATCAAGCTGCACCTACCAACTGCCTTCTACGATGAAATGACTGTCCTGGTCAACGAGGGGAGAGCAGTGGATGTAATCTCCCGTGACCTCAGTCAAGTTTCTGACACCATTTCACACATTTTCATTTAAGAAGCTGAGGAATTACAAACTTGACAGACAGACCATGCTGTAAATTGAAAACTGGCCAGGCTCTTAGGGAAGCAATCAGCGGTGTGACATCAGATGGCCGTTAAAGTACCCGACGGGTTGATAGTGAGGCCATACTATTGAAACACTACTGCAATCCAAAACGCTAGATTAAACCAATCCACAAATATTCTATGAAATTACTACTATTTTATTAAGACAAATCACATTACAGTATCCAGAATGCAGACTGTGCACTCACAGGGACAGAAGAACACTATTGCCTCAAGCAGACTTAAATACATGTTCTCCTTTCCCCTCCCATCCTTACAACCTTTTCCAGTCCCTGTTAAGCTGACTGGCAGCACACCTCAGATCACTTTCAAACTTTTTGTTTAAGGGAATTTAAAAGGAAGACAGGGAAAGGTATTTCCCAATCTCTATTCAAACCTAGATATCTCTATTCAAACCTAGAACAGCTACATATAAAGGTTCACTTTCAAAGCGACTGCTTCAAAGTGCTCAGTCTAGTTTCTTTTCAGTAATAATTCTAACACCCACCGTATGTATTTCCTTGTCCTACTTAAAAAAAAAACCCAAAACAGTTACCCAACAGTTTTGCATGGATATTGCATTTTCAACAACCAGTATTCTAATTTCTTCGTTTGCTCTGAAGGGGAGCCAAATTGCACAAATTACTCATGTGATTTTCAAAGGCATTAGATTTTCCACTATCTTTCCATTTCTTTTTCCATTATGTCAATACCACATCCCACTCTCTTATGGTCTGTTTCTCTGGCTTTAACATGGAATTATGCAGGATACACCTGGAGAGCAAAATGCTAAACCTTTTCTGTAAGGAACCTCCGAACGGTCCCACGCATCTGCAGATTCTGGATCCAACACTTACCTTGGCTTGTACAGGCAGCATGAAAGTCGTTTGGTTTGTACCTTGTGCCCATTTATGAAGATCCTCATTCTGGGATCGATATAGAGTACAGCAGCATAGGCACGGAAGGAGCGGCGCTCAGGCTTTCTGCAAGAGAGGGATGCTTACAGAGACTGAGCAGTTTGTTCAGCATTTCCTTGTAGGACTGCCAGCAGACATTCTCCCAGTCTCGTCCACGTAGCCCCAAGATGACTCCATCCATTCATCCCCCGAGTAACCACTGTCTCTTTAGTCAGAGTGCTCATCTTGGAGTCTCTTTCAGTCTGCATTCCACTTCCTCTTTCCTTCACAGTTTTTTTCCCCTTCCTACCCCTCCAATTAAGAAGTGTCATGACATGCCACTGTCACACAGCCTCCTCCTCTACCCAAACCAAATGAACAAGTTTCTTCACAGACAGAACTTGTAAGATTCTCATTTCCCAACAAACTGCTACCTAGAAGCCAAGTGACCAACAGCAGCACCTCCCCACGCTGCTCTGCACTACCCATGATGTATTTTAACCACCTACGGCAGGATTCACACCTCATGGAACCGTAACTGTTACCGTCTCAGCTCACAGCCATCTACTTCAAAGCATGCCAAAAAGACAACCTGCAGCAAGAATGCTAGGGAAAAGAAAAGGCCTTTCTATTTTAACTTTTCTTTTACATTTTTTCTACCCATGTCTTCAACAGAGATGTTCTATTAAGCCGTACATTTTAAATACTGTTACAACACAGTGATGCACATATTACTATAACTTGAAAAGGACATTTTGAATACATTTGGATAATAAAGGTCAAACCTATAAACTGGACCATTTAACACGAAGGGTGTGCCCCACTTGCTAGTGCGTTCTCCCACCCTTCAGTCAGTCAAGAGTATGCTCCAACTAAAACTGCACTGATCACACACAGAAACGGTACCAAAAGGTCAGGAAGAAGTTGTTCCTTCCAAGCGATCAGTGGTAATCATGAAAGCTCACCAGCAGGCATTAGAGAAACTGAGGAGCATATTAGAGGTCCCCAAGGAGTTTGCTGCGCCTGTGCACTCAGCAGCATCAAGCTAACACATGCAGAACGAGCTAGGTTTACAGCATGTGAAACTGCATTTCTATGGGAAATTCAAGCACTTCAGGGAAGAAGCGTGTAATTGCATAAAAATGGTAAAGCTTGCTAGTTGTGCCCATTGAGCTCTGGAATTTAACCAAGCATTTGGCTCAGTTCAGTTCAATTTTCACTTTTCAGGCTACAAGTTAATAACTCTGCTCTCCCCGAACAGGGCCCTCTACTCCTCCAGCTGCCCACTGAGCACATCCTTCTTCCCAGTCTGCAGGAAAGTCCAAGAGCTGCCACTGGTCCCAGAAAGATGTGATGATGTGCCCCACCTGCACCCACCTGTACCATTTGCTCGGGGAGCCTGACCTCACATGCTGCCAGGGTTCCTTTAATCACAAAACTGAACATCGGTCTGAGAGCAGCACAGCCATGACAGCTGTCATTCTGATTAAAACATCCTTGATGAGAGTAGAAAATTAAACCTATAGCTTAGGGCTCCTTTGTTTTAAAGTGCATAAAGAAGGGCATCGAGTTTGCTGCTTCGACTAAGCTGCTACAAGCCAACACAGGTATTCACACCAAACACACGAACTCCTAACTGCTAAGGAACAAACTAGAGACCTTTTCAATTCTACAATTCACCATAGAATGAAAAGCCTGTAAAAAACATATGCACAGAGCATATAGCCAAATCCTACACATAATCTGAACAGAGCCCAAAGGCCTGTAACGCTCATCACACTTACGTTCCCTCTGGAGGTGTTTCCGCCATCTGAATGTCTCGGGGGTCAGAAGTCACATCCAGCTCTGGCTCTCCATTATCCATGAGTTTGAGGTTAAAGATGACCACCAGCGTGCCTGAGCAAGCAACAAGTTGATCAGGTGAATCCCAGCCAAACTGCCCGTGCCCAGCACCATCCATACGTACCTTTCTCACCACAGATCTTATTAAACTGCTCCATCACTTCCTGTTCTGATTTGAAAGGGGAATACTTGTAAATTAGCTCCGTCTCAATAGCGAACTTCTCCACGTTGTCTGTCACAGGCTCCCGGCTTTGTGCGTTCCAGGTGGGCAGGGGAACGATGACCTGCAAATCACATCGTACCAAGAGCGGCTCAGGCTCACCCACTCCAGTCAGCCCCTTCTGCCGAGCGACTTATCCCTTCCGACAGCCCCCTAAGTCACTGCAAGGGTCCCTTCTAGCTGTTCAGTGTCTGCACAGCTGTCAAATGCTCAAGGGGCCCTCTTTGCCAGTCTCTGAGTTGCCTTCCTACAACATCTAGTCTTAGACTGAAACAGTCCCACGTAACCTGTATGGCACTGGCTACTCACACACTCAACGTCTCCTTTTCCCTCCTCTTGTAACAACTTCCATAATACTAAAAAAACACCCAAACTTTGCTTCTTTAAAAATGCCAACCTCTGTGCTTAACTTCTCTCTTGAACTCAAATATCCTTCACTCATATTTATTCTGATCTCACTCATGATTTTTATAGGATTCTAGCAGGGTTACTGGTGTTTTCTGTCATTTAGAACAAAAACATAGATAGAATTACAGACTGCAGCTGCCTGTCAAGGACGGCGAACCTCATCCTCACTTTAGATTTGACATCAAGCCAAAATTTCTGGCTCCAGAACCACTGTGGGAACTACATCACTTTCCCAACTTGCTTCAGCCACTAGCAAGCATCACTCCCTCAACAGCTTCTTTGTAGAGCTCCCTCCCCTACCACAATCAAAAATGCTTTCTTAGACACTATCCCAGTGCAAATTTAAAACTTTTCATTATCGACCTTGTCTGGAAAATATGTGTGCTTGAGCACAAAAATACCTTCATGTTAAGAGTCTGGATCAGAACAACAATGCCTAAGTTATCTGCTAAGATATCTCTTCTCAATAGGTAGAATCACATTAATTCTTTAATTAAAAAACAAGATCCAAAAGAAGAGACGTGCCTGGAGTTTATGACCTGCAGGTAGCAACTTCAATCACACCTTTAATTATCTACAGAAAATAAAATCAGATCAATAAATGTAACTACATCTCCAACTCAAATTGTGTGAGAACAGGAAAATGCAAGAAGTCTTGGCATGTCCTGAACTCAGTATAAGCAACTTTAAGTGATTGACACAAGCCCTTCAAACTAGCTGTAGTCTGGAGAGACAGAATTAAAATCAAAAGGAAAAAGTCTTTGATGACTCTGCAAAACCCCTACAAGCCTATCACCAAGAGAAAACCATACACTGATTCAACCAGAGTAGCAACCAACACTGACACAGACTCTTCTCCTGTGAGAGCGGGGGAATCATAAAATAGTTTGGGTTGGGACCTTTAAAGCTCACCTAGTCCAACCCCCCTGCCATGGGCAATGTCATCTTTAGCCAGATCAGGTTGTCAAGAGCTCCATCCAACCTTACCTTGAAAGTTTCTAGGGATGGGGCATCTACCACCTCTCTGGGCAGCCTGCCGCAGTGTTTCACCACCCTCACTGGAAAAAAATTCATCCTTATATCTAGCCCAAATCTACCTTCTTTCAGATTAAAACCGTTATTCCTTGTCCTATTGCAACGGGCCCTGCCAAAAAGATTATCTCCATCTTTGTCATAGGGAGGTTCAGATGAGACAGCATTCACCATCTTGGTTCATTACAACAAAGTACATGCAAACCTCATCGATGCCTTCCTCCTCATGGAAGGTCCGTGACAAGAGGAGGCAAGTCATGGTGTTGTCCTTCTTCGTGAACAGGACAAAATCCTTCCCAATCCGCATGGAACCCCTGGAGACAGATTGCAGGCTGCACGTTACACCTCACTCGCAATGCTTTGTAGAAAGCAGACCACATTACTAAGTTCTCTTCCCATTATGTTCAGTTACGAGAGGCCAAAACCAGGTAAGGCAGAAGAAGGGCTTAAAAGGCAACTACCATTTCTCTCTAAGCATCTCACTCCGTTCAAAAGGCATCTCAATCTGGACATTTTCATAATGTTTCAAACCACTGAACACTAGTCACAATTAGAAGGTGCAGAAGTACAGCACGGATTTGCAGACTCATACAATGTAGAAAGTGTAAAAAAAAATTTCTTTTTTAAAATCTAAAAAAGGTGACTAAGGTCAGATGTGACAACAACCTTCAAACATACGAGCAGAAACGTAACTGAGAAAGCAAACTCACACTTTGTTTCACTGCACACAGAATGAATAGCAGCAGACAACTTCCTGGGAGACAGACAATTTATTTCCTAATGTCTAATTCAAAGACTCACTGACACTTCGGTTAATGCAACTTAGCAGCTAGTTGTCACAAAAATGGACAATCCCATCTTCCCCCCTGCTCTCCTACCGCCAACAGTGCCTTCCCCATCTTCTCTTTTACCTTACTACCCAACTCATCCAAAAAACCTTAACAGAGAAAAAATAACAGAAGCATTAGTGTTCTGTCAGTTCAGTTCTCTTTAGATCGGCTTAATGCGATACCAAAGGCCACCTATCACACATTTAGGCTACAGGCTGCACTTCCCAGCTGTAGCACAGTTGAGCCCTGACACAGCCTGCACTTCTCAGCTGTAGCACAGTCGAGCCCTAACACAGTTGCCTCTTGGTCAAGGTTAAGAACAGGACAGAGATCTGTCCTGGAAGTGCACAGGTACCACCTGGGATCTGTCCTGCACTGCAGCTGGATCAATAATATCTCAAGATCCCTTACATCTCCGTTTTTTCTTTCCCCCCAGATTACAGAGTCCCACAGGTTTACCCAGCAGGATCCATATAAATAATCAAGCCACGTGGAATAGCATAAAGCAGTACAGTGATCAGAAGAAGCCATAAAAGCCCTCTAACTTTCCCAAAGACATCAGTTCACCACAGCAAACACTCTTCTCTTTCCTATCAAATCTGCAACCAGTAAGATTTCCTTCCCACCTCTGTTCCTCTGCCACTTAATCCCACTCCTCCTCTCACTCCTTCCATCATTCCCTTTCTTCTCCAAGCATTTGTTTGATTTAAGAAAAAAAGAGTTAAGTCCATCTGACTAGCACCAAACAGCTTTCCTAGGGAGAGGCTGCAGCACTATTCCACAGGCAGGTTTTGATTCCTGCTCTTTTATTTTTTCCCCAGCTCTGATCATCTCAGCATCATCGTTGCTCTGCATCATACAAACATAATGGGGGAAAAAAAAAGAAAGTCGTCAGCTTTGGACAGCCTTCCCTGCTACTGAAGAACTACAGCAGATGTTCATACAGCTCTTGTCTACCAAATCATGGTATCTTTATTTAGATTTCATCTGCTTTTTTTTTCTGGAAAAAAAAAAAAAAAAGATATACACCTCCAAGCAAAAAATACCTTTACTATCTCAGCTCTAACCACCATAACGTCAGGAGGCTGGCTTTTGTTATACCTACGATTTCAAGCCATTCCCATACTGCCCAATTTGCGTCGACTCAGGTGATCGCTTGGCTGATTTGCCAAATTGAATAACACTGGCAGCTTCATCTGGAACAAGAGACAGGGAACAAAAACAAAGGTTATTTTAATATACAGACACACGCACATCTTTTAGATAAACTTATTCACCACTGGAAGTAGCACAGAAAGACTATAGCACGGAAGAGGCCAGAAGCCTGAGCCAAAGTCTCATCCTGGAACTCTACCAGACAGCCCTGTAAGATACACGTTGCTCGATGGCATTTACACTATCAAAAGCCTTGGATAGATGCCATTACGCCAGCAAAAAGAGGTCTGAGTTTCAGACTAGCCCAGTGCCCCGTCTGAAATGCACAAAGCTGTTTCTTTTTACGAAAAACTGTCCACAAGATGATCTGTCGTGTCCACCATAATTATCAACATGCTCATAAACCAAAACATACCCCGGGACACTGCAGCTCTGCCGTACTGCATTGTCCTAGGTTACAGTGTAAGATGTGCGCAAAAAAAGTATTCTATCACCATCTTCAGGA